ACGACGCACAATTTATAACTAACGTACTGTATATAAAACAGACGTTTGTTTTTCACAGGTGTGACAGCAGACTCGAGAAGTTTACGTATTCTTGCTTTTTATTCTCTTCAAGTTTATCAACTGCAAAGAGAAAAAGGTTTGACGTCCAACGTATTGAATGCAAAACTAATCTATTTTTACTTTACAACAATCGGACTCTCTCAACCGGAGGTCAACCGGATCGATATTGCATTATTTTCTGAAGTTTTAATAGCATGTCTGATTCATTTTTCTCAGAGGGAAAGAGACAGAAAAAGAGAGAGAGAGAGAGAGAAAGAGTAGCGAAATTAATATTACACAGAGCTATATAGGTTTCTCGTTTCTTCTTATTTTATATTCGAGGGCAAATTAATTTAACCGCTTTTAATTGCATTATCACGGGGATAGAATGTGTGGGAGAGAGAGAATGGCTTAATACAGAAATGTTTCTGCAACTGACGTGTAACAGAGAAGCAAAGCGTAACGAGTATTGTTCGTCCGCTTGAGGAACAATAGGTACCCTACTTCATTCATTCGTCTGCAATTACGCAAAATTAATGGAAATGAAAATCGGAATCCGACAGCGCGATAACGTAATGAATGCGCTATACACATTGGAGGCGCGCGAGTTTCGCTCTTGCATTTCTTGATATTTTGTTGATACTACACTCCTCGATCGATTACTATTATTTACAATGTAAACCGACGTGTACGTATATACCACGGGGTGTGTACGTAAGAAAAATGGAGTATTTGAACAAATTGCCTTTGACACACTTGACTTATGAAACGTCTAAGCTGATGATAGGTAATCGATATTACCTATCGGTCGCGAGACTAAATACGGCAAGTACCGGTTTATACATACATATATATTATATATTATATATTATATATTATATATATATATATATATATATATACATGTACACACATGATATCTCTCTCCTCTCGTACGTAAGATCAGATAGCGCCAATCCCGAATTGCTTGCGGTGATGGGACAGTGGTTTGGTCATCTCCAGATTTGATCTCCGGCGTCTACGTCCTCGTGGGAGACACGTCAAAGCTGTCGAACATAGGTCGGCAAACATGCGGATTCGGGGCGTCCACGCATTGTGGTGACGCCGGGGACGGGAGGTTCAAAGCCTCATGGCTGACCTGCTGACATCCTTGGTATATGCCATCGACGGGGCTTTCTGTGATCAACCAGATCGATTGCCTTTGCTCAGTCGAATAGACAGAAAGTTATCGTTACGTCGAGTAACTGCGTTCAAACTCGATTAGGTTCTACTTGAGTAACGGGAGGAGATCTAACGGGGCTGTAGACTCTCTCGCGATAAATAAAATCATTTTGACATGTATTCAAGCAAAGATTTCCGTGTTTCGTGCGTTTGGAACACGAGAGGAAGAGTTATCTTGACACGCAATCTTTACATCTTGTCCCAAACAAAAGTCTCTGTACAAGATCTTTGTATATGGGAATAATTTAATTTTGTGTGCACGTTATTACGCAAGGCACAAACGCAAGTGCACGCGCAAATCTGTAATTAACACTTTTTTTGTGTGTTCAACGATTTTCTATATTATACAATCTCTGTTCATGTAAAATGGCGAAAAATTCTTTTGCGCATATATAACTCGGATTTTTAATTATTTAATAAAGTGATACGCGCGAGAACGGATCGCGCGCGCGTATAAACGTTTCAGTTCCATTTCTCGCGTAATTCGATATTCATTCGACGAGAATCCGAGTAGGTCTCGCAATCGGATATGTACGGAATCTCAAAGGTATCGTGTCCGTACGAGAGAACAGTCAAGCGTATCATACGTAGATTTGTCAAACATTGAGCACGGGAATATTCATGAATTTGACGACTTTTCCGCGCAAAACGTCGCGAACTTGAATTGCACGTACACCGCGATAATAAACTGACCTTGAAAAAATTGGTATCGCTGCGCTTCGAATCGCGAATCTCCACCGTGATATTAACTTTTTTTACGAGCAAAGACAAAACCACACATGTACCGGATTGCTTCCCCGACAAATAGCGCGGCTTTCCGTAGATCGTATTACTTCGATCGACTCTGGAGTTTCTCGTCGAAAGAGTTTATCCTTTTGTCGGTGGAGAATCGCCGCTATAAATTTGCGATGACGAACCGCATTCGCATGTGAGAACCGTTTTCTCTTTCTCGTCTCTTTCTTCACAGAGGTTTTGGCAAGCTCCGTGTGGTATTGACAGGATATTCCGGAGAAAATGGAGCTAGCAGCCGTGCGCGCAGCAAATATCAGCCGACACGAGGGGGAAACGCGTTGTGCTCGCTCCGATATAGACCGAAGACAAGCGTTGGTAATGTGGCCGGGGTATATAATCCTACCTTTCGGTTTACAAACGTTATCGCTCCAAACAAACGGAATATCGTCCTTTTTCACGTTTTCCAATCTTGCGGGGCGGCCGTGTTGTGTCGCACACATACACACGCGCATACACGCGAAAGCTATTTGTCGGCGTCGGCGTCGGCGTGTATTCGCACACGCGCGTACACATCGCTCACGAGCGAGGGGTGTTCTTGTAACTCCGGCTTGTCGGAACTTTAATAGAAATTCTCATATAGACGATCGATTCGGGCCTGTCGTCCGCCGCGCCGCCGGTTTCCGACGAACTAACTCCAACTTTCAATTATTGCAAACGTCATCGGATCGGGTTTCAATTATTGTAAACGTCAATGTTCCCCGTGGAGGATACGTGATAGTACTTGCGATGCAACATAATAAAGCCGTCGGAAAATAGTTCTCGCTCGGGAAGAGCGAGGGTCGAGAGATTTCTGTTTTTTTGTTTATATATATATATATATATAATCTCATAAGTAAGCTACTCTCGACGCAATTACTTTACGCGGTATGAATTGAAATTGATTCAAACTGCACGATGCAATCAGTAGTATTTTTCTTTTCTCGGCGATTTTGTTTTCTCTCTCTGTGCGCCTCATATAAAATTACTTCGCTCCTATACACACACGCGGAATGGCAAACGCTTCCTCCTCACTTGTCGCGGAAAAAAAAAAAAAAAAAAAAAAGAACCGCGCGAGGGAGATAATAGAATCTCGCGCGGTTCTATTATACTGTCGCTTCTATACTATCGGTTTTAGGCCAAAACTCTTCTTTATGAACAGATTATTAATGCGGTTTATCAGGCAGATCGATCTGCCTTATGGGAGCGATTCTCTCATCCCGCGAACTGTCTCATTTTTTTTGTGTCGCGGTCCGCAATATCGACTATCAGTTCCACCATCGGCAGCGACGATGAACAAGGGACGAGAAATATTATATCGGCGCGCATTAAATATCGGGGGGCCGTTAAAACGCCCACCCATCCCGGATAAACGTCCGGCGCCAAAGCGACAATAAATCCGCGGCCTGCCGCGCGCTCTCTCTCGCATGCTATTGAATATCACGCGAGTGGGATTTCGCGCGGGAAACCCTTCCTCTTCACTTCCCCTCTTGGAGCTGTTGTCGAGTCGCGCGGATTTCGGCGCAAGCACTTCTGCTCGTTATTATACGCCGCAATTAATTATGATAAGCAGTAACGGTGATTAATCGTCGTCGCGCTCTCGAGAAGAGCCAGTAATTATTTCCGCGCGGAGCAAGCTACACGAGTGATAACTCAGCAACGAGGCTAATATAAACGCGCTGCGCGACGCGCAAATTGCGGTTTTACTCTCTCGTCAGGACGAGAAGAAAAACCAAGGCAACCGAACGTGCGCGCGCGCGCGCGCGACCGCACCACTGCACACAAAGAGAAAATTTATATATAAATGTCCATGCGAACGAGCTCTTGATTATATGTTTTTTTTTTTTCTTACTTACCGAATAATATCTGTCTTTACGAGAAAATTATAAGACACGGAGGAAGGTGGAGGAACTTTTTGAATTTTTTATCCGCGAGATCATACTGATAATGAAAGACGCGCTGTTCTCTCTTTCTCTCGTGGTCTACGTTCATGGCGCACTTCAATTAAGACGAGATGAGGTCCACTTAACCTTTTTTCTTTTTCTAACCTTTTACGTGTCATCTATAATTAAGACGCTGAAAATGACACCAATCTCAAGTCGCATTTACGTACGTGAGTTAGTGTAATGGTACTTTGGCGATAAAGTATTAGTAGTTGCTTGTTTCCGTAGCTTTTCGGCGAACATATTCTCTCGCGACCAGGCGAGTGATAAAAACTTCGATTTTCTTTTTTTTTTTTTTTTTTATACGTAAGAGGTCCTTAATTAAATCAGGCACATTAAGGACACACGCAATCGATCCGTCGTATCTCAGTCGCGCGAGATACTGGGCTTTTTCCCGTGCTGGCTTTATGCAGACCTATTTGCCGTACGATTACGTTCCTTTTATGCCGACGCAATATATGGAACATCACTGGCTTTTATGCGTCTCCCTTTACAATTGTGATTTTATTGATGCATTCGGGCATATACTACACACACACACACACACACATATGAAGTCTCGATGCAAAAGTCTCTTCACAAAATATGGCAAAATTAGAATTACAGTTGCGTAAAAATTTATATTGACGAGAAATTTCCTGAAATGTTCGATGACGGAAAAATTGTACGTATCGGATGTGATGTACGCCCGTGATATATATTATCGTTCGGACACGTTAAATGTCGAATAACAACGTGTTATGCACGGTTACGCGATGCCAATTGTAGATAAATCGGAAAGGTCTATAATTGAGATTTTATCGATGCGTTAAATGTGCGCCAACTTTTGGCATACACAACACGCGCCCGAGTTTGCACGATATCGCGCGCAGTAGATAGTGCGGGGGTTCACTGATGGCTTCCTAAAGCGACGATCTCGAACGACGTGTTCGACTATCGCGATGACAAATTATGTCTTAGCACTTGTCCCGATGCTTGTAAATATATATATGTCATCTTTTTCCATTCACGTTTCCTTATATGTTCCAGATGCGTCAACCTGTTCGGCAAGCTGCTCGATGATTGCCAGAAATCATTGGAGACGACATCCAATTGGTGAGAGAAAATTTTTTCTTCTTGATAAAAATTTTGGATTATTACTTTTTTATATATACTATGTATATATATATATATATATATGTGATAGATTTTAGACAAATAAAATTTGCTCTTTCTTGATATTCTCTTTGGGCCAGAGAAGAATATTATTCTATATTTGTCACTCGCGCGATTTTTTTTTCTGAAGTTTTTACCGCGTAAAATTTTTCGATAACCACGTAAGAATTTTTATGATTAAACATATTTCAAAAAAGAAAAAAAACGGATGGTGTTGCGGAAACGTAACACCGCAGATTTCGGACGAACGTGAATCCTAGTCTAGATAAATCGAGTACTCCGATACGAAATCGTCGGGAAAAAGTGCAGTTGGCGACGAAAGCCAAGATTAATTTCTACCAACGCGTTCGGTGAAAACCTTGTCGATACTTGCGGGGATTTCTCTTGTTGCGGAAACGGCAGTGCATCTTCATCTCGCCGATGCATGGCACGCATTAGCAAGTTTTTCGACGATGCGGCGGCGCGATAAATCATAGTCGGGACTCCAGATGAGAGGCGACGGATGAAAAATGATGTTCCGGCAAACGAACGGCGTTACCGTAACCGGAGCAACGTTGAAATCGGCGCGCCGACTTAGTCGCACAAAAGCGAGGCGAAGTGCTGGCTCCCCGAATGTCATACGAATCCATTTCCGTTTACCCGAGATTTTTACTCGTGACAGCTCTCTCTCTCTTATTCAAAAGAATATAATTAATTATCTTGTATTAAAGATATGTCTTTTATTTGGACAAATTCTCTGATTATAAAAAAAAAAAACACACATTTAATTATCCTCTCGCAAAGAAAGGAAGTTTTTTTTTATAAAAAGCATCTTGATATTTGATCAAACTCGACTAGTCTTTAATCTTTAAGCAGTTTCGAACGTCTGTGTAGTGTGATTTATACGATTCCCGACGCGATATCTCACACATGTCGCAGAACTGTCGATATAGTAGCCATCAACAGCAGTTGATTGGCAGCAATAGATGTATGGGCTCTAAGCCGCTTGTAACCCTGCGAGATTTGAATACTACAAAGTTTCAGGTTACAATCCGCATCCTGTTCGAAGCACACAGTGTTCAATTATCGATAAATGATAATTGACGTAATTAGGATATTTCCATACGTGTCTCTCGAATAACTTACATCTACGTGACATAAAAAACGCGTGAAACAATTATATGTCTCAAAAGTAGTACGATTATTTAAACAATATATATATATATATATATATATATATAGATTATTTATGAAACTTGATTTAATAATTACTATTATATCTCGTGCGCGCGCTCACTGAAGTTTGCACAAAAAGCGAGACAAAAGCTGCGGAGAAAATGCATACGGATAGACAATTCAAACTTTGAATGCCGCTTATTGAAACCGTTTCCATTTACCGGGATTAAGTGTATTTTCCGCGATATATTCGTAAAGCGTATAAAGCGGGAAGTCGTGCGCGCGATGAAATCACACCACGTATGCTCTCGGGCTTGCGCGTGCACGTGAGATATCGGGAGTGGAACAAGAAAACCCACTTGGAAAACAGCCTCCGCTGAACTTATCCCATTGCCGCGAAGCATGTCTCTCATGTATTAGTCAACGCTGAAGCACTCGCGTACTTGGGCGGTAAATCGATATATATGAGAGAGCTGGAGAAGTGTATGTAAGTATTCAACTCGTTTCGCGCGTCGTTCGATTAAGACCGTTTTTTTTTTGTTCGCGCGCGATAATACGTACGAAATATTCAAGTGAAATTTCACGTAATTTCATTCTCAAAAAGAGTGTGTCTGTTGCTTTCGCGCGGGATTTTTTTTTATAAAACGATTATTACGCAACAATGCGCGCAACGCTTCTCTATGTAAACTATAAAGGTTCTTAGCGACACCATGTGTCGCCCTAAAGCGAGTCTTCGTACGCAAGATATGTCTATAAAAGCGGATGCTTGTAGTGAAGACATGCCCGCGCGCGTTAGTCTGGTCTTACCCTACTAACTAGAAATTTAAGATAGACTAAGCTATTCTGAGCGAACACGGAACGTGATATCGTTCGAGATTTGAATTTAAGTTTTCGCTAGAGGGATTTTCGAAAGAGAGAACGTGGAAAGGGAGAAGGCAAGTAGAGGTTGTGAAGTTTTAAAAGGGTTTAGGTAAACTTCTCTCTCTCTTGCGCTCTTACAGACACACATACACACACACACACACACACTCTCTCTCTCTCTTTCTCTTTCTACCTGAGTCTTTCCTGAGGAAGTTCCGTCGCCCTCGATTTGCTTCGCGTGGGCTGCATTCTTATTCATAAACGTGAGAAATATTGTAAGAAACTCACGCGTATAACCACGCGTAATGAGAAGAATCGAAAATTTCCATCTTCCCCTTTCAGCACAAGAGAGAAGAATAAACTAACGGGGAAATCTTCATTCACGAGCGAAATAAGATATATTCAATTTAAATGTTGAAAACAGATATCGTCACTTTTCTCTCTTTCTCTTTTAAATTTATTTTAAAATTCTGGCACTTAAGAAAGTTTTGATTAAAAAAAACCAAACGGGTTACGAGCTTAGATTAAAAGAGTTTTATTGCGAATTGCATAATTGTATTTTACAATACGTTAGAAGGAAAGTGGAATTCTTAAAGGGTAAAATTTATTTTCATGACGTACGCGAGAGGTGAAATAACAAAGGCGGAGGAAAGGCAAATGAAATGGATCGGAATAACGAGGAATTATTTATTGAAGATTCCATTGAAAAATCCTATTATCAACGCAAGACTAGTCTTAAAAGAATGCTTCCTTTAACAGGAACTTTTCTCAATTACCGAGCGTAGCAATTGTCATCTGTAAGGAAGTGAAGTATAGGGGAATTGGTATATATATATATATAGTAAAGATTCTTTTTTTTGTGTGTGCAGTTTAGTCTACAAATATAAAGAAAGAAAAAAGATATGTTAAAATTACAGTTCTTTATTTACAGTTCCGAGCATTTGTGGGGATTTGTGTGTCTTCCTTTGTCTTTTTCTCTTTCTTTTTTTTATGCATTGTGGCTCGCCATAAATTAAGATTATCCGCTTGACTTAATTTTGTACGCATTGTATCCAGAACTTAGAACACATTCTTCCGCTACGATTTCATCCTTCCAAGAGAGGATCCGCCTTTTCCACGTTCGTTCACAAACGGACTTAATTCACTGCTCGCTCATGCCGAAATAGGAACTGTCCTTCTGTGTCACGCCTTTTTGTAATTAACTAACATCGACGAGACCCATTTGATGACAGCCTCCGCTTTCATGTAATTCACTTAGATTTTTTGTTCTCGTGCGCCAAACAAGCGCGCGCGCGCGCGCACGCGGCTCTTAACTTTCTCTCGTTCAATTTAACTTCTTGTTTTCTCATGTGTCTCACGGCGTAATTTTAATCTCAAATATTTGACAGGTTTTATTACCTAGCTTCTCTCACCTGTATTTTCCACGATCGCGAGCTAATAACAGCAATAAAGCGTACACAGTACCGAAGCAACAGTAATCTTGTTAGAGAAAAAATCGAGATAAAACATTTTGTGTGAGCGCATGTTTAACTTTTTATTTTATTTATTTTCTTACTCATAGTCTGCATGTGCGAGAAATTCTCTCCCGCAGCATGGGAGAGAATTAGAGAACGTGCGTTCAAGCTTATCTTCTTTCAAACGAGGCAGACTTACCCTTGTTTCGTGGGTTTACATACGTTGAATTTTCTTCCCTAACGGCTAAAGCCCCGTCCCTTCGTGTTCACTTTCTCCCTTCTCTTTATTAGGTGCAAATTCTGTTCTGAAACTTTGCGCAAGTAATTGCGCGTGAGAAAAACTTTTCTATTTTCTCTTCCGCGTAAGAAAAGTTTTTCTAAAATGCCAGTCAATAAAACTGAAATTTTATAATCTGAGATTTGTCACAATTGTTTGTTACCGAAAACAAAATCATTTTTCCAATGATTATGATATAACGGGGGGCTCAGTAAATGTAGATTTCATGATTATAGAAATTTCAATTTTCTTGCTTCGCTAAATACTTAAAACACGCGCGCGTGCGCTTGAATGTTTTCATCCCGGTCGATTTTGGATAGAAAGAAATTTTCCTCGCGAGCATATTCCACATGTTAAAGACCCTCCCTGCTGCATTTGCCGTGTACAAATGCATCTGCATATAGAAACGAGCGCGCACAGACACACGCACGCATACACACACACACACACACACTCCCGTTTCAACCTATTTCGTGCAGCAACGCATTCAACATGCGAGCTTGGTGAAATACCTCAGATTAGGCGGGTACTGCTTTTCATGCTAATTCCGTACGATAGAATATGCGTTTCCCGTAAACTCGAATAGTTGATCGAAGGATTTCAACTTTTGTGCGTTATCATCGTTTAATTCTTAATAATCCGCGTCGTGACAAAACTCCGGGATCGTGTGTTCAAATTTTAATTGCGCGTGACGGAAGACAGATGCGATTTTTACACATTCGCGTTATTTCGCTTCAACAAGTGAGAGAGGAAAGATGCAATTTGTTATTGAACTTTTATGTATTCATTTGCGTTGTATCGCAAAACGCGATACACTCCGATACGTTTGTAATAATTCACATCAGCAATGAAAATGTTAATTAAACAAAGGTTTATAAAACGAAACGCGCAAACACACGGATAAGTTACAAACTTAACGGATATAATCGCATACTCGATGTTATCTAAACAGCGCAGCGTTATCTAAACACAATATTTGTTCCGTTGTAACAGCATATATATGTGCATTATATACATTGCATGCGCGTATTACAATCAATAATAAATACATTTTGTGCGCGCACATATCAAATAATATTATTAAAGTATAATTGCGCAACAAATGTATTACGCAGTAGCTCTACAAGATATGTGGAACACCATCGTACACACAGATGATGGTGGTGGTGGTGGTGGTGGTGGTGGTGGTGACA